AAAAAAAAAACACAAAACACAACAACTGACAAACTGAATAGCCAAATCGGTAGACAAGTTTCAAGTTTACATACATATGTATGTATGCACATATGTAAGTGTACTCATTTGTATTATTTACAAGGCTCAAGCTTTTTCTTTGCTAAACTCTGTGTTGGCAATTTATTGTTGTACTCCTACATATGTATGTACTTAAACCAGCTGTTTCACATTCACTTTATTTTTATTTACATAGAATTTTATGGTAAAATCACTGGAATCACTGCTCGCCATGTAAAGTAAAATAAGTAAACAATAAATTGGGTTTTCTCTCTCTCCCCATTGGCTTTATGCAGGAGATCAAACCCCTATTATCTACTAATAGCAGTGTTGCCAGTTTAGCCATTTTCCGGCTAGAATTAGTCGGTTGCCGGAAGCCGATTTGTTAGCTGTTTTGAAAAAAAAAGAATTAGCAGTTTTAGCCGATTTTTCTATAGAGCTTATTTTCTTAAAATTCAAATACATAAGATTAATTTTTTACAAATTTAGCGACCTTAAATCTATTAGAATTGGCTAGCCTTATCTCGGAAAAAATTTTTATGTCGGACTGTGTTATATCAAATTGAAAGACAATTTTTTCTCATCCGAAAGGTCCTAAAATACTGGGCCGATGAAAGTGTAGCTAATTACTTAAAAAGCACCATTTAAATACAAATTGCACACTTTACGCAAAAATTATGAAATGTTTGCAAATTTTCACCAAAATTTTTAACATTTTAATCAGCATCTTTAAAAATTTTAAACTTTAGTATAAGAAAGTACAGATTTAACGTAACTAGCACATACTGTTGATTTTTGGCAATTTTTTGTTGACGGCGTTCCGCTTTATTTTTCATATAAAAAAATTGTCGAACATAATTATTTCGTATGACAAAAATGCGTAACACCGTCATACAAAAAAAAAGCCAAAATCAACGGTAAGTCCCATATTTTTTCTAAAGATGCTGATTAAAAAGTTAATTTTTGTGAAGTTTTGTTGAATTATTATAATTTTTACACAGAGTTTGAAATTTCACTGTATTTTTTTCCAAAGAAGGACGTAGCAGGGATTTTATTCACATACGTTTTGTCACGAATGTCTTAACTTTAAGTGTGAAGTTTTGTTCGCAACACAAAAAAAATGACGAAATAAAGCAATACTCTCTGGGAGACAATAACTTTGAATAATTGTAGTAGGCATGTGCAGAAAGTGAGCAGGTCATTAAAAACGGGAACGTAGTGAAAATGTTACAAGACATATAACAAGGCAAACTTTTTCAATCGAAAAGAAAATGCCATAAGTTTTGTAATTAATTGTTTTTACAAGCTTTTATATAACTTGCTCTGTCTGTATGTACTTATGTTTGTTAGGGGCAAATCTAGAAATAAATTTTTGGCCATGACCTAGAGACTAGAAACTTCACAGTTGGCTCAGAACCAGATGACAATGCAATACGAAAGATGAGTTAATTCAGTAGGTGGCGCAGGAGTCGAGATATTTTAAAATCCCGTTTTTCTAGTCCGGGTCAAAGCGTACATACATACATGAAAAGGAACAACTTCCTAAAATTGTGCCGATGGTGGCGCACGAGCCGATATACTAGGTAAATCAGTATTTATGGTCCTATGACGTTCATATTTAGAAAGCTTGCTTTAAAAATATTTGTTTTTACAACTTACTTATTTGTATTTAAGTATGTAATACAAACATCACCTTTGATGTAAAGCTTAGCTACGTATAACGACAGTTTCCTTTGTTAAAGAAAAATAATTTGTAATGAATTTACAAGTCTCTATTTTTGAGATTTATTTAAAGAATTTACTCGTAATTCTACCTGTGGTTTATATAAATAAAACATGTGAATTTTAGTTGAAACATTTTAGCCATTTTTAGCCCCTTTTTTTGGCTAATTTAGCCGGTCGGCCCAAAAAGTTCTGACAACATTGACCAACAGCTGCATGGGACAAACCCCTGTAAGAGTTAGTCTGTTGCCTCTGGAAATGGACGCGCCTTTACTACTATGCATGCAGATCAGTATTGCCGGGTCATTGAAGTGAGAAATCGTCAGTTTGGCTTTCGAAAATCGTCATTTGCATGTAAAAATCGTCACCATGTAAAAAATTGTAATAAACAGAACCAGGAAGATCTTTTGTGGTTGTTTTTTCATTTTATTCTAGCATCTGATTGAGGAGAAGCTCGGCCAAACACTAACATATGTGTAAGCGCCAATCTATTTATTCTGATTGTTTTACGTAAAAAATAAAAAGTTCAACTTGCTGCAATTTTTCTAAAGTTGGCATTACTTTCAACAAAAATATTTTTAATTGTAATAAAATCACATTTGCATCTTCGTTTTTTTTCAAGCTGCAACTTCACAATGTGCATTTAAAACTGTTCACACTTGCTAAAGAACTTATTCTTAATTCCCTTCGCTCAATAAAATATGTACACAACGTCACAACGCGAAAAATTACGAATTTTACCGCCATAAACTACACAATTAATGATGAAACAAAGAAAATAACTTCTTAACGATAAATACTATTAGTGCTGAAATGGTAAACTCTCAATAGGTGTTTACACTGCAATTTTCAGTTGTCTGCCTGTCTTCAAAGTTGAGAACCAGCCAAATTTGCAAAAAAAACTCGTCATTGGCTTCTAAAAGTCTTAAAAATTACACCCAAATCGGCAACCTGGCAACACTGATGCAGCTATTAAAATTACTGTTAACCACCCTCTTTTCGTCAACATTCCTCCCTCTGTGGGCTGTTAGCCTGTTATTGCTCGCCGCTCAAACTGTTGCGTTGCTGCCTGCCGGATCTTGTAGACTGTTGTTCACTTTGTGTTGCTGCTCGCAGTCAGTTTGTTTATGTCGTTCGGCGGTATTGCACGGGGTTTTCGCTTCTGATTTCTGTACGTTTGAGTTAAAGTAGTACCACAATTTTG